CCTTGAATGGAGTGTTAATCACTTTTAAAAAACAAACTCTAAATAGTTGACACTGAAAGAAACGTTATTCTTTTTTACATACACTAACTCCATCAAATGTTTGACCTGAAAACTTTTCAAAACAAAAAAAAAATTAGAATCTGATTCTGTGTCAACGGAACTTGATAAACAAATACCTGTTTATCACCAGAAACAGCTGTTAAAACCTCAGCATCAATAAAACTATTTTCAAGAGCAAATTTCGAGTTCAAGATTTCGAGTTCAAATTTCGAGTTCAGAAAATTCAAGAGCAAATTTCGAGCATTCATTCGAGTACCGTTGAATTGCAAGCTTTAATAAATTTCTAAATAACATAATTACACAATCAGGTTTGGTCGGGAAGCGGGTGCAATCGCATTCGATAATTAACCACGGAAATAATATTTAGTTGCAAAAAACCGGCCAGATTTTTTAGTCGTTTTGAGAACATTTTAAAAACAAACAAAAAAGCGCTAAAAGATTAACTGGACCGATGAGAGACAGTTTAAAAAAAAAAATAGCTTTTAACGCAAAAAAATTTTAGGCAAAATAAATACGATTTAAGCTAATATTTTTAAAACGTCGCTTTTTTATAATTTTTTTATAAAACTTAGCCACATTTTTTATATAAAGTAAAAACATACTTTCTGATTTGCAAAAGGATCATTCCAGCTCAATTTTATTTATGTTAGGCACCAAGCCACTTTAGATTAATGTGATATAATCATCTGATATAAATCAGAGAATCATCTGATTTATATCAGATGATTCTCTGATAAGTATATATAATTTTTATTTATATACTTATGTCTTATTAATAGTGCTAGATTGAGGAGATGGGGGTGGGGGGGTGGGGGAGTAGAAGGACTATAGCCTCGGGACTCACAATGTTAGGGGCCGCGAAATAGTCAAGAGGACCATTCGATATTTTTTTCAGTCATTTTTACGCTGTGGCACATAAAAAAGGCTGCCAAAATAATGCAGTCCTTGAAAAGTCCAACAAAATTCAACCAATAAAACTAACGCTAGGTGATTTATTTATTAATAAAAAAGTTTTTTCAATAACTGTTTTATTCTTCGCGTAGTTTAAAAAGTTTAACACATTTAAAACAATTTTTCTTAGTAAGATGAACAAATGAAATAATTAAATCATTGAGTTACTGTAGAAATTCAATTAGCTAAATGTAAATTAACCAAAAACATTAAATTATTATGTGAAGAGGAAGCGAAACTGCTTCATAATAACGCTGATGATGTTTAGTGAGTGGCTTTATAATTTTATAATTTTATAATTATAATGGGCTTTATAATTTTAATTAGTATTTACAACAGAAAAAAATAACTTCATGTTTAAGTATAACAAGTTTGTAAGAATGGAGCAAAAATAATTGAAGTTAGTAAACCAATTTCTAAGAACTTAAAAACTTTTCATTCTTGGGGGAAAGAATCAGTTATCGGGTACACTGAGAAAAATGGATTAGTGGTTAAAATTATTTGTTTTAACTTTGATGATTATTAATTATTTATTATTAGAAATTTCGGTTAGTATTTTTTGAACCAATATGCTATTGGTTCAAAAAATTCTATTAGTTGTTCGTAGATTTGGCGGGTTTTTTGTATTTTTTTACTTTACCGCACAAAGATTGTTTGAGAACATTCAAGTTTATGTTTGTTTCCATGTATGTCCGTAAACAAAATATTTCAAAATTTACGTTAAAATAATGAACTTAATTAAGCAAACATACATAAATTTAAATGTTCTCAAAACAACTAAAATATCTGGCCGGTTTTTAGCAACTAAATATTATTTCCGTGGTCAGTTATCGAGTGCGATTGCACCCGCTTCAAAGTTGTTCAAAAATTGAATAGGAGAGTTATTTTTTTATTAGAGTCGTCCATCTCAATTTTATCAGCACTTTGCACAATACATTGATCTCCCTGTAAACATTCAAGCATTTGGTCATTAATTGACAGTGGATCCACATTAGTGAGTGTTAAAGTAAGTCATTTAGAGCAATCATCTTATTCATCATCTTTCAAATTAACTTGAATGAATTTGACTTTCCTTACCCATCATGTACTCTTAATTTTCAGTGAACATTTTATACATGCTTCTACAACTTCAGCCCTCACCTCCAAAAAAAAATGACTTTCCTGCCAAATAGAATGTTGTTGTTTTAAACATAATGGAAAGTTGTTGTAAACAAACTATAAATTGTATTTAAGACATGTTTGGGTATAATGAATTTTCAGTCCATGTGGCTGTAGCAAATTAAACATTCATATCAAATAAATATATTTAAACGTGTTCATACTAAAGGCTGGTCAGTCCATAAAAAACCAATCAGGAATGTTGGTTACATAGGAACTACATAGTCCACAGGTTAACTGCCCAATACATAGTTATTAAACAGAATGCTACTACATTACCTGCTACTACATAGCTACGACATACCAAGTACTACATAGCTACATAGTACCTGGTACTACATAGCTACCACATAGCCCATGGCGCATTAAACAGTAACTAAGGACATTAAACATTATATTACAGTATTAATATTAAGATTTGTAGAAAATTTTAACTTGTGGTTGTATAAACTTCATAATAGTTTCTATTTATAATCATTAATCTATCATTTAGTTATCTATTTAATAAAGAAAGAATTATGATTGTTATAATTTTTTTAACAAAACAAATTTTATATTTATTTTAATTTTTGTCATTAATATTTTCTTGACCAAATGTCATTAAGATTTTCTTGACCAATTATTTGACCAATTAGTAGACATTAAATGTTTCGATAAATTCTGCCCTTTTATTAAACTATCCCTTTTTTCATGAGAATAAACTTCGTTTGCTTCTGTTACCTGTTTAATTTGTCATTCAATTGACTGCCCATTACAAGTTCGACATCCATAAAAACGAAGAAGTAAAACAGATTATATTTCAGCCATAGGCTGAAATAAAATCTGTTTTACTTCTTCTGTTGTCAGATCACAATTAAGAATAGGCTCATAGGAGATAGTTCAGTTGATAAACTGTATAAGTGTTTTTGTATCAGGTTTTATTTCTGCCATTATTCTAACTCTCACATTTTTATCATTAGCAAACTCTACATTGTTCTTTCTTTTCTCTACATTCCCTGAGCAGAACTCAGAGAATGTAGAGAAAAGAAAGGTATGTATGACGAACTCATGGTATGTATGACGAACTCAGAGAAAGCATACCACGCTAAAAGTCAAAATGTTGGCATACAATTGCAATTACTTCACTTGATTGATGTTTCAGAAGGTTAAGCTGGTAAAGAATGTGTCTCAGCCCTTCAGTAAACCTGTGTTCGACCTAAATTTTAAACTACATAGGTATGTAAATTCCTGCAACAAAACTTATTATTTATTTAAGGTTTTTAATAATTTTCCAATACTGCCGCACCATTTGTTGCTGTTAAGTGTCGCTCCATCAAGAATTGTCATCAGATGACGTAGAGGAAGTTCATTTGTATGGAGTGCGCAAACCAGCCAGTTTAGCTTCTTTTCTAATTTCACTTCCAGCCAATGTATTACTTTGCCTGAACACCCTGTTTTAACACTAGTAAAATCACCACCTATCATTTTTAAGCTTATATCAGTACCATTACTTTTAAAAACTTCATATATATTTTGAGCAATTACTTCAGTGTGTTTCCGATGTTTTTGAACTTTTTCATGTGTAAAATAAAAAAGATACATACTACCGGGTTCTTGACATACTGTATAATGTTCCACTTTGATTGTAGCAGGATAATAATTAGTCGAACCTTTAACTATTAATTGAATATTTGTGTTATCAATTCTACCATCAAAAAAAAATCAATAATGCTAGTCCTGCATTGATTGTCAGGCTCTGTACAAAGAGGCTGCATAACTTTTTCCTGAGCTTGTTGACTTTATTGTGATCTATAATTAATAAAGGCGATACCAACTAACTTGGTATCGCCTTCATTAATTATTAAATAATTTATTATACTGGAACCAATATGGCTTCCAAAAAACAATTGTAAAAAACAACAATTCTTCAATTAATAAGAAATATTACTGACTTTTCAAATGAATATATTTTAAAGAAGGTTGTGATAAAGTTGTGCAAAAAAAAATACATCTGCTATAGTAGCCCTCTTGGCTTTAGGAAGGTAAACTGTTGACCTGCCGAGAAAAATGGTAACAAGTCCATTTGTGGCTTAAAGTTAGATATATTTATGATTCAAAAACTATTAGTTTTTAAACAATTTAAAAGATTGAGTGTTATAGCCCGCCAAGCTCTGATAAAAGAAACCAATTTAGATATCAGCATTATTAATATCAGCGTAATTAGATTCAGGTAACCCCCATATGTCAGACTTTATTATTGTCACATACTAAAACAATTTATAAGATATATATAGATATATAACTGTAACCTATATAAATCCATTTAAAAAAACGTTATTCCATCAACCTCTAGAATAGGAGCTATTAAAAACATAATAGGAGCATTGGCAATATAATTACTGGAGAATCACTCCAGTAAATATATTATCAATGCCTCTCCATCAAAGAACTTTAAACAGTGTCCTCAACTTTAATAACTCTGTTAATTTCTAAAAAAAATAATTATTTTTAACTACTTGAGAAAACATTTTTATTTTCAATATTACTAATTAAATTTTTTGTTATTTTTTTAAATATAGCATATGTTAGTGGTGCATTGATAGAGCACTCACTTTCTTCTTCTACACATCATCAGCACTAATCTTGAGTTCAATTTTCATATTCTCATGTTGTTCTTTGTAGCATAAAAATTTTAATCAGAAAACCTTATCATTCAAGATTTAAGTTTAGAGGGACAAAGATAGCGTTAAAAGGAGAAGGGGGATAAATAGACCAAGATAAAGCGGTAAAAAAATATAACTAAATAAAAAGTAAAAATAAAAGTATAAGTATTTTTAAATAAATAAAAATACTTTAAATGATGCCATGTCTCAGCAGAAATTTGAAGGTCGCTTAAATGTCGCAATAGATTTTTGTCTGAATCTGTGTTTTCAAAAAATGCTTTAATAAAATCATTTAAGTGTTTTTCAACAGCATAACATAATAGCAGAATAAAGGTACTTTTAGAACTTTCTGGCTTCTTCAGTGCACCAATCAAACATTCTTTTGCATTAAGAGGTTTGCGAAGCATTATTAATCCTATTACAGTAAAGTTGTTGTCGTCAACTGCTAATTTAAGACATTCATCATAAAAACCAGGATTGAGTCTCTCGGAACCAACTGTTTTCACATACTTTTTAAATTCATCATTGCGCTTTTCCTTTAAACATGTTAGAATATCTATTGAAAATATAAAGGTTTATTTTAAAAATTTTTACAAATAATTTTAAATAGGAAACACATACTAAAGATTTTTTAACTTAAAACTAAGTTTTGGCAACACAATTTTTGACTCACTGTAAGAATGATTCAAAAACTGAGTAAATAATAGATATTAAATTTGTTTTTTATTGATTTTAAAACTAAAAAAAAAATTTTTTATAGCATTATTCTAGGTCAGATAATAACCAATTCTATTCAAATTTAAATAAATAATCAATATTCAGATCTAAATGCAACAAAAAAATATAGAATTTATATAGAATCATGTCTTAAAAAAAATTTAGCCAAGATATTTTTATTTTTTCATTTCCCATACAAATAGTTTGAGTTAATCGAAGGAATTTGCTGAAAAAGGGCAAAAGAGGGGGCAAAAAAAGTTAACAGGTGTTTGATTTACCGGGAAATATCAATTAATTTTGAGGTTTATTATTAATTGTGGGGTTTATTATTAGCTTTCTTACTAACTTTCTTACTAGCTTTGTTATTTTTTAACAAGAATTTACTTTTGTAATGGCACTTCAATATAATATTGGTTCATTTACATAGAAATTCTTCAGGTGAATGTATAGAATATTTCTTAACAATATTTTTAACAATTTTAACATTAACTTCAGTTGTATATAAATTAATGAAGTGTATTATACATGATGAGATAATGATTTATTTAGTAGTGCACAATTTCATAATAAAACAATAACATTAATAAAAAATATTGCACTACTAACTTGTTGAATGAATTGACTTTATCACAAAGATACTTGCAGATGAATACAATGAAGGCGAATTAATATTTGATTTTTCAAAAGTATTTGATTTCATTATTAATGTTATTAGTAAAGCTCGATTGACTCGGGATTAGAAACAAATTATTATGGTGGCGTAAAAGTTTTTCAAGTGAAAGATTTCAAAGAGTGACTGTTGGAGAATTTTTGTCAGAATGGAAGAAAATAAATGGAGTCCCTTAAGGCTCAGTTTTAGGTACACTATTATTTGTTGTAATTAAGAATCATTTATTAAAAGAATGCAAACTATTTGCTAACAATACTAAACCTTTAGAAGTCATTAAATTAGAATCAGATAACAAAGTTTACAAAATAATCTTAATATTTTAAAAGAATGAACAAATGACTGGCAGATAAAATTTAATATGCAAAAATGTGAAGTAATGCATTTCAGAAATAAACAACCCTAAATACAAATACAAAATTGATGAAGTTATACTAGAGGAAGTAAAAGTCAAAAAAGATCTTGGTATTTTTATCTCAAATAATATTGATTAGAGCTACCTTATATGCTATGCAATTAATAAAGCAAATAAACAAATGGTAAGAATTAAACATGCATATGAATATATAGATGAAAATTCCCATTTTTTGAGTATGGTGCAGCTATTTGGAACCCCATTGGAAAGGAGAAATTAATAGACTTGAAAAAGTTCAAAATAGAGTGACCAAAATATCATGTCTAGCCATGAAGAAATAAATTTAAAACTAAAACTATCCTCATTAGAAAACAGGAAAGGGCAGGGTGATGTTCAAATTAATAAAATGAATTAAAGAAATGAATTTGCATAACCCAATAGAATATTTTAATACTAATGATCTAGGAAAAGGCTATAAATTAAAAATACATAAAAAGTCAATAAAAAAACAAAATAAAAGTTTAAGGGAAAGCAGAATAGTATTATGTTTGCTTGAAAAACAAATTATTATTGAAACTTTTTTGATCAAAATGTTTTTTTGGGATTAATATTGAAAAATTAATTTTAAGGAATAATTGCAAAAAAAAAAAATAATCATAACTTATTTAGAAGGAATAATGTTGAAAATGTTTATAAAGAATAGGATCGAAATTTGGATTTAGGAATAGTATTGAAAAAACTAGCTAAGATGTAGAACATACAAGGAGTGTTGCTACATCAACTGAGGGTTTGGTTTGGGCAGGGAGCCTATCAATTTAATCATAAACATTTTTTTTTTTTTAATTATAATTCAAAAAAAAAAATTCTTTCTTTCAGGTCTTGAAAGAGGTTGAAAAAGAAACAAGTGAATAAATGAATAAAATAATAACAAATAAATAAATTTTGAAAAACTAAATGAATAACAAATTAATAAATAACTTGAAGATACATACATTTATGAATAATGTTTGCAGACCTGCCCTTTCTGACAATTCCATTTTTAAGTCATTATTTTCAAATTTTTTGAGAATTTTTTTTGTCATAATTTTCTTAAAACTTTTTTGATATTTTTAGAATAGTAAAGCTTACTTTTACAACGTTTCTATTTTTTTGTAAATATTAATAATTATTAATTATTGTTTACCTAACTGGTTTAATATTAGAGTTAAATCAAGTTGGATTAAGGAACCTAGACATGCCTTGTATCAACTAGACACGCCTTATATCAACTAGAACTACTTAAAATTCAGGGTAAAAATGTTTAAAATATTGTTATGCTGACGAATAGGCAATCAGCATGGTATGCACACTCTGAAGCAATTTTACAAACCATGCTTTGCAGCATAAAAGCATAAATTCAGAAAAAAGAAAAGAAGCTGTAAGTAGTATTCTAAGGATATAAGGAGTAAGAGATGAGATAACTCAAGTTAGAGATAGTAGTCTCAAATTATGAAGAACACCAGAAATAAATCCTAATGCTGAATAGTAAGTGACAGGGTAAAAATAAGATATTTTTCAAACCCAGTCCTGGCCCTGGCTAAACTATTAAGATTTAGCAGAAGATGATAGCTGGGGCTAGAAAAAAATTTATAACACTTTATATATTATAATTTTATGCTTACATTTACTACTTATTTAATACTGGCATATATTTATATATTTTCAAACTCTTATTTACTTCCAACAAGATTCCAAGCAACCACTATTAAGTTATGAGTTACTTTAAAATAGAGAATAAGTAAAAACACTAGGAAATGGTTAACTGAAAACTTGAAAAGTTGTAGGTTGTTTATAAAAGAAAAACATAAATATGGCTTACAGCTATAAGGCTTTTTTGATTACAAGGTAAAAAACTGGATTAATAAAAGTTTTTATAGCATGAAGGGACAGATACAATAAAAGGATGCAACTTGTTGAATAAGAAACAAGCAAGAATGAGTTTTGGTTTATCATAATAGAGATAATAGCTTGTTTGAGCATTGGCCATGATTATACTTGTAGAAAGAAATATAACCTTAAAACTCTCTCTCAACTATATAACTCTGAAACACGAACCCTGACAACCAAGGCCGCTGTGCAGAGAAACAGTTGAGCGCGGTACTACCCGGGACGTGGTGGGGATTGAACTTGGTATCTCTTGCTTATGACGCAAGCATTCCACCACTACACTACAACCACATTTACAATGTGCCTTAAGACTTTGTCTGAGAGTAAGAGGGTTGTTATTCATCAATATAAGAGAACCAAATTATTGCAATATTTTTTTTGCAGTAAATAAATGAGTTTTGTTGTCTAACAAAAACTGCAGATTTCAAGTAAAACCGCGTGCTTATTCTAAGCAATCAAAAAGTGAAGATTTTTTGTCAAGACAAAGTATAAAGTTGAGTCATCAACAAATAGAGCCACTTTAGAATTTTCATGAAGATTGATATTGTAAATAAGAAACAATACAGGAGCAAAGATTTAAGGGTATCACAAGATACCTTGTGGTACCCTTAAAGTTACTTAAAATAAAAAAGAGTGTAGGCCTTCAAGAATAACTTTATTATTGCAGTTAGTAAAAAAGAATTTAATAATCTTAAAACCTTTATATAATAAAACTAATAACAGAGTGAAGACTAACCGTAAGCTAGTTGGAAAAGTCAAAGTGTTTTCTAGAGTTTTGAAAAATTGGAACCACTTATTTGGCATTTTTTAATAACATTTGATTTTTTAATTAACATTTGACTTTTTCAAAAAATTTTTAACCTAATAAAAATCTAATTAAAAATAAAAACATTGAACTGTTATAAATGTTTGTTTTTATATAACACCTGTGGAGTACATTCAAACTACATAGCCATGGAACATTTGACCAGTGGTTGCATAGATCATTTCTTTTCTAAGTCATATTGTTGTTGTTTGGTGATTATTTTTTATCATTTTAAAACTCACTCTTTTACAAAAATCATTCATTATATATACTATTCATAATTTGCACTTTGTGACTCTTGTCAACAATTAACAACTTTGCAATAATCTCAAAGTATTAAACATAATTTGGATAGTTTTAAAATAGGACTTGTATATATTGGTAATAAAATAAAACTTGTATATATTGGTAATAAATGTGAATTTTTTACCAATATATACAAGTTTATGTGAGCTTGTATATATTGGTAGTAAATCAGAATTGTTTCCTTCTGTGCTTCAAATAATAGTTAACCACACCAACTTTATCATCAAAAGTTAAATACTACTTTTATTAAACATTCATGGATCTTATTCCTAAGTCAGTTTTTTATTATAAAGAGAATAAAGTTTGTTTGCTAAGTTCCCTCCTTATATTTCTCACTATATGCAACTCATTGATGTTCGAATGAACTTTCTCTATTTATTTCTTAGATACAATTTAATAAATGGTGTTGTAAAATAGTTGTTACAAGTATTTTTGTAAAAAATAAAATTAAACTGTAAAATAAAACATAAAAATTAAACATTTATTAAATAAGGTTATTATTTTACAAATAATCAAACAGTCAAAAGTAACCCTCTAGGTGATTGAAACCGATGAAGTGGGTTACAATTAACAACCTTAAATTTAACTACAAAAACAGTTGAAGAATTGAAAAAAAGATTTGAAAAACACTTTTTGTTAATCTTTTTTGTTAAGTCCATTAATTACAATGTATGTATTTGTAATGAACAAAAGCATACTAAATGGTTGAATATTCTGGGTCTTCCCCTATATGCCAATAGATATAATCTCTTTTAAAACTTTTTTTTGCAAGAAAAATACATGAAACAAATGAAATGTTACGAAGTTTTAATAATTCAAAACTTAATTTGTTTAGAACATGACTTACCATGACTTAGTAGAAGTCGAGCTGAATTAACGCAATTGTTTTTAACTGCTGTTTCATATGGTGTTTTATTGTTTTCATCACATAATTTTGTGTTAGCATTATATTTAAGTAGCACTTCAATGCAGTTGCATGCATCTATAGATGCTGCTATATGCAGTGGTGTATAACGACCATCCGACATCGAATTTACATCTGCCCCATATTCAAGTATTCGCTTAACATTATCAGGTTTTTTAGAAAAAACTGCATCATGAAGTATTGTGTATCCTAATGGACCACTTCTAACATTAAGAGTAGATTTTAAAGTTTCTTCATCTTTTTCATCGTTTTTTTTCCTACATAAAAAAAAGAGTAAAAACAATATTTTTTACAGTTTTCATTGTAAACATAAAAATTTTATATCTGCTTCATAGTAAGTGACAGCTAAAAATGAGACTTTTTGCAAATCTGACCCCGGTCCTAGCAACTGTAAGATTTAGCAGGGGTTTATAGCCAGTTGATATAATATTAAATTCTAGCATATATTTATGCCAGTATTTAATAAATAGGGACAGATACAGTACAAGGATGCAAATTGAGATAATGCAAATAAGAAGCCAAGCAAGAATGATGATGATCATGATGATGATCATGATCATACTCATGATGATGATGATCATGTTGATCATAATGATGTTTATAAATACATTTATATACAAAATCAAACATATATTTTGAAAAAAAGTACTTTAGGATGTATAAATGTTTATGCAGCCCTGGTCACAAACCTGGCCTTGGCCATGTCTACATTTTAATAATATTTTTTGTATAATGTATATATTATAAAACTAATGCTTTACAAATCATGTAAATATAATATAAAAACATAACATTCATTTAAAGATTTACACAGATCTACACAAATTGTAAAGTAATAGTGTATATATATATATATATATATATATATATATATATATATATATATACATATATATATATATATATATATATATATATATATATATATATATATATATATATATATATATATATAATATATATATATATATATATATATATATACATATATACGTATCTTCAAAAAAACAGAGCAATATAAACACATTAATTATTTTAGAAAAAAAATTACAGATATAGAAATTGAAAGAATTTTTGCAGCTGCTGATTAAGGAGAGTGTCACAAAAGCTTTGGAAAACATTTTAAACCACAAAGCTTCACTACTAGTATATTGGGGAAGAAGTATAAATACACTGGTATAGCTGAAAGGTCTGTTGGAACTGGAAGAAACCCAAAAACTTTAAAAAAAGAAAATTGTTACATTCTAAATGCAATCAAAAAAGATAGTAAAAATATGTTATGAGACAAAACCAGATTTGAACTTTTACAATATCTTAAAATGGTCATTATCTTGTTGAATAAATAGTTTGCAGGAAGCAAGTAAAAAAAAAACTTTTTTAAGTGAAATCAATTGCAAAGAAAAAAAAATATATATATATATATATATATATATATTTTTTTTTTTAACATCTTCACTTCCAACAAGGCTGCAAGCAACCACTATAAGAGTTGGAAGTTACTGGAAGAGAAAAGACTAAATCTGTAGAGCAAGATGACGATTGACTGATGACTTAAAAGATTGCAAATTATATGAATCAGGAAAGCAAGATGAAGGAAGCGAATTCCAAAGAACTGATGTTCGAGGAAAAAAACTAGAAGAATAAGAGTTTTTGAAGCACTTAGGAACAGTCACAGAAAAAGGATGAGACTTAATTGAATGGCGAGTAACACGAGAATGAATTTTAGTAGATGGCACAAGGGACGCTAGCTCTTTAGAGCAGTGCCCATTATAGTATTTGTAGAAAAGAGAAAGAGAAGCAACATTACGACGATGTGACAAAGGTTGGAGATTGGCTGCCAGAGCAGGTCCAACTATGTTTACATATATATATATATGTAAATATAGTTATAACTAACATAGTTATAACTATATTTATATATATATATATATATGTATATATATATATATATACAGGCCTTGTTTTAAATAAAAAATCCTTAACGCAATAGCCTAATGTGAATTTGACGTCATAAAACTCTCTTTATTTCTTTATTTTTTACAGACATTAATTTTTTTATATTACTGCAATAATATTAATTAATGCAAAACAAGTTAAATGCTATTTAACTTCTTATTTATTATTACTATAAGAAAATGTTTATTTTATTTATTTATTTTTTCAACTTTAAATAATTAAATTTAATATTACATTTTTTTAAATGTTTGATATTAACAAATTTCTTTCTTTTCTCAACATTTCTTGAATTTTAAATGATTATTTCTTCAATTTCTAATTGCGGCTTTGGAACTACAAATGATTTTTTATTTTTAAAAAATTAGAGAGTGACAAGTAAAAAAATAATTTATTTCTTCAAGTCTATTACTTTATTATTGATTTTGTTGTAAAAGCAAAGATTATTTTTCCAAACATCATTTATTAAAATTATATCACTGTATATTTAGTTTATTAATAAATGATTGCTGCAATTTAACTTGCGTTATAAAAAAAAAAGTTTAACTTACGCTTTGTGAAAATTTTAGATGCCGTTTGTTTAAAATTTAATTTTGATTAAAAAAAAAAATGTTTTGAAACAAAAACCAAAAAAACTAATTCTTAAGAACAAATAAAATTTAAGTAACATTTAAAAAAAATTTATTAGTAACATTTTTAAATAAATTTGACAGTTAACTCAAACCCAAGCATAAACTTCAATTTTAATAAACTTCATACGCTTACTGCGTATGTAAATATAACATATATATATATATATATATATATATATATATATATATATATATATATATATATATATATATATATATATATATATAGGGGTAGGGGCAAAAGTGGCCCCGGCCACCAAGATATTAGAGATGCCAGCAGAGCCGTACTAAGGGCAAGGCTAGCAGGGCAGTGGCCCAAGACTCCAAACTTGAAGTGTCATAAAATTTCCCAAAAAATAAATTAAAAAAATAATCATCACTAGGAAACATATAGTTATGAAGAGCTCTTTGATGTTGAAAAGAAAATTAATTAAAATTGCTCCTTCTTACAAAAACTCCAACTTATAAAAGCTCATTTAGTAAACAGAAGTGCACCCTTTAACACTAACATAGTTTATATATATTTTTAAATTTATTTATTGGTTTCCAAAACTTTGAATAATGAACATCATTCATAAATAAAAACAATTTTTCCTAAACACATTGTGTGATTTTGACAATAGAATGCAACATTTCATTAAAGTATTTGCGACTGGAAAAGACTAAAATTATTTCCTGAACATGAAAACACCAATGAGCACCAAAGATGCTATTCTGATTGGAAAACTCTTGAAAAAAACCTTGAAGAAGGATTCTGATCTGCAGACACTTATCAACGGAGATATGAAAAAGTGAAGAGACATCTTGAAAGTGATTGTTGATACAATTTTGTCCTTCGAGGCACAACAGAAGTCAATGGTCAACAAAACAACAGTGGAAATTTTCTGAACAAAATAAAATTGATTATTATTCTTTAATGACTGAACACATTGCATCTGTTAAAGCGAAGAAAACTACAAAGTCCTACTATTTTTTTTGAACTCAAAAGCTGATTGAGTTAATCTGGAAGAATGTCAGAAATGAAATATTGTCAAACATCAAAAAAGATAAATACTACTCTAATACAAATGCCTCCCATAAGGATCAGATGACCCAAATAATGTCACCTGATCCTTGTGGATCAGATGACATTTTTTGGGTCATCTGATCCTTGTGGGAGGAAACAATGCCCACACCAATGATGAAACCTGTACAATTGAGAAAAACTTTGTGGATTTTATTGAGTCTCACCAAAAAACTGAATAAATTCTTGCAATAGAGATCACTGACAAATTAGAGGATGGTCAAAAGATTTCTGATTTTCATGGCCAAAGTTACTACAATGGAGGCAATGTCTAAAAAATACAACAATATCCAAGCTCACATTCATTCTCTCTGTGAGTCACTAAGATTTTTTCTATGTGCAGCTAACACTTTAAATCTTGTTGGGGTCCATACTGCTGAGGTTTCCCCACTCATGATTACATTTTTATGAAAAGTTCCATCTTTAACTTTTTAAGTTCAACATCAAGATGAATAAAACTGATGAAAAACATTGACCATCTTATTAAAGGGAAACAGTAACACAAGGTGGTCTGATAAAAAAAAAAGCAATCACACCATTGCACAGACAAATCAAAGAAGTTCTTCAGAACTCATAATCCACAACCCCATGAAATCCATAGGATGGGGGCACAGTTTTCCTTACTTGCCCGAAGGGCAAAGTTGGCTTGGTAGGGCCCTGGACATCAAAAGACAAAAAATTTAAAAAATCATTATAAGATTATTATTGAAAAAAGTAAAAAGTTTGTTTTTATTGATGAAGCATAAAATAAATTAGCATGGTGATGTGCATAACAAATAACTTGCTTTATAACTAAAGAAATATAGTTTCGAAAATTTTTTTTTTTAATAATTTTTTTTTTAGTAAATTATTTAAACTATAATATAACAATCAGATCTTTTCAGAAAGAACAACTTTTGAAAAAATTATAAAGGTGTTTAGAACCAAATTTAAAAAAATTGGTGTATTTATATATTCTCATCAAACTCAGCATGTAATTAATTAAAAATGACTCTAAAACCTCAAAGATTACCCAGAACATTAGCACATTTTTAAAAACCGTGTTGCAAACCATAAGAATATATTAGCACATGATGTAATTGATGTACCTACAGTAAACTCTTTTAAAAAATTTTTATGATGCTACTTTGGCTGCAGCAATGTCAATTGTCAATAAATTAAAGCCTGGTGTTGCTTTTCTTAATCAATATTAAACCTTTTATGTATAAGCTTCATTAATTATTGTAATAAATAAAGAAAAATCTAAAATCTTTTAGCTGCAAATGAAAGATAATGCTTTATAAATTTTTGGACACCAGATTTTCAGCTCAGATTGCTGCTATAAAACTAATTGCAAAACAACCATTACTGTCGTGAAATTACAGCAAATGATGATAGAAAAATCGCAATGAACCTGGATATGCATGATTTTTTTTTCCATGAGTTCTCTGAACATAAGCTTGAAGTAAATATCTTTAACCTTGAGCTTCGTTATACTATTTAACAAATTCAATTTAAAATTGATATTGTAAAAACTGTTTTATTAAGGTTCTTGTTCATCTGGTTAAAAGATCAAGAACCAGTAAAACATAAAGATTGAAATAGAAGACAACTTTATGGGAGAGACTTTACATCATAATAGTTCGAAGAAGTCTTCATTTTTCACTTTTTGAAACACTTTAATATACATTTTTTAGAAATGTTATTATAGGCAGGCTCAGTTTTTAGAATAGATCAATTTAATTTAAAATTATTATTTTTTTCTTTTAGTTGCCAAATATATTTTGACAACATAGTCTCTTTTGAGTATTTTTTATGTTTAAAAGATTGTTTGTGGTTGGCATAACGCTTTTTCCATTTGCCTTCAGTTAAGCCAATATATTGTTTGTCAGGGTTGTTTTGCAAGGAAACAATGCATTTGTAAATAATATTTTTTGATAAGCATTTGCCATTCATAGGACAGTCAATTTATTGCTTGCAGTTACAATTTTCAGAATTTTTTTCTTTGAGAAATTCATTTTTATTAATCAATATATATATATATATATATATATATATATATATATATATATATATATATATATATATATATATATATATATATATATACACTTACTAAAGTATATATATATATGTATATATATATATATATATATATATATATATATATATATATATATAAATATATATACAAAATATTTATATATATATATATATATATATATATATATATATATATATATATATATATATATATTTATATATATATATATATATATATATATATATATATATATATATATTTATATATATATATATATATATATATATAATTATATATATATATATATATATATATATATTTATATATATATATATATATATAAATTTTTTTCTTTGAGAAATTCATTTTTATTAATCAATATATATATATATATATATATATATATATATATATATATATATATATATATATATATATATATACACTTACTAAAGTATATATATATATGTATATATATATATATATATATATATATATATATATATATATATATATATATATTATATATATATATATATATATAAATATATATACAAAATATTTATATATATATATATATATATATATATATATATATATATATATATTTATATATATATATATATATATATATATATATATATATATATTTATATATATATATATATATATATATATATATAATTATATATATATATATATATATATATATATATATATTTATATATATATATATATATATATATATATATATATATATATATATATATATATATATATATAAATATAAATATATATATATATATATATATATATATAATATATATATATATATATATATATATATATACATATGAATTTTGTATATATGCATAAAAAAATCAGGGCCTTCACCTAACTTGACAAAAATTATATAAAATATTTTATAAAAATTTTCAAAAACATTGAATTCCAATTTTAAATAAACATTAACTTAAAAATTGTGAATTTTCTTGATGTCGCATTTAACCTCTCTGAAAATTCTTATAGGCCTTATAAAAAACCTAATGATGAATTATCCTATATTAATATAAATTCTAACCATCACCCTTAAATCTTAAAACAAATTCCTACTTCAATTAACAATAGACTAAATCAAAACTTTTCTAATGAAAAAATTTCAACTCTTCTAAACGTGCGTATGAAGATGCTTTCAAAAAAAGCGAATTTAAAAATTTTGAGCTAAAATTTAAAATAAAAATTGCAAAAAAGCAAATTAGAAATAAATATAGAATTGGGCTCAACCCTCTGCACAGCAAAAATGCTTCAACAAATATTGGAAAAAGGTTTTTAAAATTAATCGACAAGCATTTCCCTCCCTCTAATAAATTGCACAAAATTTTTAACAGAAACACTATTAAAGTAAACTTTGGCTGTACAAAAAATATTGTAAGAAAAAATATTGTAAGGCCATAAATTTGCATCGCTTAATAAAAATGAGTTTCTTAAAGAAAAAAATACTGAAAATTGTAATTGCAAGCAAAAAATTAACTCCCTAATGAATGGAAAATGATTATAAAAAAGTACTATTTACAAATGTATTGTTTCCTTGCAAAACAACTCTGATAAAAAATATATTGGCTTAACCAATGGCAAATTGAAAAAATGTTATGCTAACCACAAATAATCTTTTAAAAATAAAAAATACTCAAAAGAGACTATGCTGTTAAAATATGTTTTTACAGACATGTAAATAAGTTCCTTTAAAAAATTAAATAAACCAATCATCCTTATTTTAACGAATTCTTTTCATGATTTTTTAATTATCAGATGTAGTTCATGCAACTTCCTGATGTTTAGACATTTTTCCTGATAGTGAAACAACTTGTTGACGATGCTTACTGATGGTGAAACAACTTGTTGACGAAAATTAGATAAGTTTTTTTACTAATTTATTCTTGCCTGTTCTTTAAGAACATTGAGCACTCTATTCATTGAGCACTCAATTTATATATACTCTTGAAATACTTTTATCGCATATATTTCGTCTATTAATTAACTGTAAATATTTTATAAGTATTACCATATATTTTTTAGAAATTCCATTATAGTTTTCATACACTATTAATTTCATCATTAATTTTTTAATTAACTTTTTATCTATTACAGAACTTCCACTTTTCTTGGAAAAAGTGTAACTCCGTTAACGTGAGGTCACGTGACAAACTATTTTAAAATAAGACTATTAAACTTTTATCTGAAAAGTTTGGAAGTAGCAAGTCTTCTCGATTTCATCTTATTATAATTTATGAAACATAAACTAGAGTGCAGTGCTGGGTAAAATACTTTATAAAAGTATTTAAAATGCAAATACAAATACTGGAACAAAATAGTTTTTTAAATAAAAATTTAAATACTTCAAAAGCATTTAGATTAAAAATACTTTTAAAAAAGTATTTTAAATACTAAATACAAAGTACTTTAAGACTTTTAAAACTTACAATTAAAAAATCCTCCGTTTTCAAGTTTATTTTTACGCACTCTCATTGCTCAAAAGTAGTTAATAGTCGTTTATACTTCATTTAAATATCATTCTTTCAGTCATTCGCATTTGTTTTAAGCAGCAGTCGTGTTTGTATTTGCCCGGCTGTGCTAATATAGTCGTTCAACTGGAGCCGACGATGGTACAGTGGTATTGAATTTGACAAACACCGAACACTCTTACACTTATTTAGAGCAGTCAAATTTGTATTTTTATCATTTAGGTACAACATGCATTCTTGCTGAGCGCCAATTGCTGCAACAGCATTTGGAGTGTCATCATTATATACAACAAAATTTCCAATTGTGCTGTCAGTGTTAATATTGAGATTGGTCGCTGTCAAAATATTTGAAAATGCCATACTAGCCACAGACGGCAAGTATGGCATTTTCAAATATTTCTCTACAGATAGCTCATTTTATTTGTTGGCATCCACCGTAGCTTGAACAGTGGGTGCGAAACTACTGCAACAATCCTGTATAAATTACTCACATCAAATCTCAGTTCCTTTTCAAAACGAATTTTCATGCTTGCTAACAATGCTGCAGCAAATAATTTAGCATATTTTAACTGGCAACTTTGAAAACGCTTCCAATTTTATCTGTAAGCTATGCAAATGTGGAAACACATGGTCATAATACACATTATCCCCTTGAAAATTATCTAGTGTAGTAGTAACTGGTTTCATGACCAAGGCGTATTCTTGCAGGCATTCTAATTCTTGCTTTTTAAACTTTGGCGCATTCAAAGCATTTCATATATCATTGATTTTGTCATATAATTCAGGTGATCGCTTGATAGCATCGTACTGAGAATTCCAACGTGTTGCCACGGGGCGGAGAATTGCTGTGATATTTAACGAAGCATCTGATGCTTTACTACTTCGTCAAGTTGCATTCCAAATTGAGGTGCATTTTGCCAGACCTGCACTGTAGGTACGCTTAAACATACTGTCGTTATCACATGTCTTCTTAGTATCATTAGTTGCCAATAGATTAAGTGAATGGCTGATGCATGTTTGATAAGATGGCAAAGAAATACACTCGGCTATTGACTCATAATCATCATCATTATGTTCGGGTGAAACTGAAAGAATGTCTCCAATATTAATTACATCAATTTCATTCTCATTAACCTCATCCTCTTCTATGTTCTCTTCCTCTTCAAAAGTATTAGGTGTAATGGTAACACTTACATTAGTTGCTGCTACACTTGTAGTTGACTCTACAAAAAATCCTCTGAATGTTTTTTTTAATTTTGACGCATTGTCGGTGACAGTTGCTGAGATTTTTTTCACGTTAAGGTCATATTGACAATGATTTTTAGAAACCATTGCAGCAACTGTGTCATATGTGTGACTACCATAAAATCAACGCAAGGAACACAGATTCTCATGAAACCCAACTAGAATCATCTAGTGGCATTTCAATAAAATGCGCAGTCATGCCAAGATAACTTTTTCTATTTACTGATCAGATATCAGCAGTAGTGCAAATAAATGATGCTTTTTTCAGTTTGCTTCTTATTTTTTTCATGCATGCTGGAAATCTTTGAGTTTAAACGTTTGTTAAGAATTTTGCAACACATGATACTTACGTTAGGAATTAAACCACAAAGCAGTCAACGAAAAGCCGGTTTTTTAACCGTAGCCAAAGGACGCATCTCTTCAGTAATATTATCCGTAACTAAGTTGTAAGCTTCTTCTTGCAATATAATACAACATCTTGGTGAAAATTCCAATGCTGCTTTATGGTAAGTAATTTGTTTGAACTTCTTATTAGCAGGGCCTTTATCAGCCGTTTTTCCAACAGCAGCCTTGCCTAGCTTACGTTTTCTCTGAACATCTGCCTTATGCGCTTTATAGTCTTCAAAGCGATTCTTGTGCGAGTTCTATAAAATAAACGTAAATCCTTTTAAAAAAAGTTGTTACTTTGGCTGAACAAAATTTTTAAAAATTTTACCTACCTCCTCCCCCTCCCCTTTTGTCAACAATTTGTCAAATTTCCAAAAACACACTATAAAGTTATTACCCCCTTCTCTCACCTCGCCCCCCCCCCTCTCCTTATACAAAGAAGCTACGCTACAAAATTTCTGTTATTTAAGCAATGAAACTCAAAAAAAAAATTTGTTGAGATCATCTTTGATTGACCTCCCCTCCCACTTGTCAACAACTGTCAAAAAAGTTCAGCCCCCCCCTCCCCCTATTTTTTTGACGTAATTAATGGACAACCCCTTTACTGTTAGTATTATATACTTCGATTTATATTAACTTGTACTGCCTTGCCTTTAATGCAACATTAAATTTTTTTTTGTTGATAATTAATTGCATATTGTTTCCAATAGATAAGATAAATTAATTTTAACTAATACTAATTTTTAAAATTACCTTCAAATGCTTAACGAAATTTGATGTTGCCGCCTGCGTCCCCGATAATGGCTTTGAATTACGTACACGTAATAAACACAATGTTGATATTTTATTATTTTTTTAATCTGGCTACAATTTTGAAAAAGGTACCATCTACAATGGCTAGTAAAGTTTCATTATTTTCTTTTTCGTTTTTGCGGCTCACGGCAGCCATCTTTAAATTAAAGTTGTTGATTCCCACGAAATAATTTGATAATTACCCTAATGAAACCAAGGTAGATAAACCATGGTAGATGAACCAAGGTAGATAAATAAAATAAGAAACAATTCAAAATAATTAGTGGCAGAACAACACTATGACATAATAGTTTAGTTGATCGTGTGCGGTGCTGTGAGTGTTTTAAGTGGTATTTGAATTGCAGGTATTTTCAATTAGTACAAAATACAAAATACTAATCAAAAGTATTTTAAGTACAAATACTAAATATTTTCAACAAAAGTATTTAAAATACAAATACAAAGAAAGTATTTAAAATAGTACTTTAAATACTTAGTATTTCAAATACTCCCAGCACTGCTAGAGTGAGTTATAATTAATGAATTCTTAAAACGAAAGTTGGTGTTAAACATTTTCCCTTATATTTTCATATATAATGAAATGTAAATATTTAACTTTTAAATTTTTATAATTTTTTAGACATGTTTGGGTCCTGTAATAGATAGTTTTACATAAAAGCAATATACTTAGATGAAATTTGAGAATAAATAATTTTTAAAAAAACTTTATTTTAAATGTTGCAACTTATTTGGGTATAGATTGACAGTTATCATAAAAAATTTTCAGATATTTTTGTTTTTAAGCTAGAAAGACAAAAAAAACATTTTTTTTTTAGTAGTGTTATTACAACTTTTAAATAATTTGACTGTCGACTAAATCGAATAATATATTTTCTAAGTTCGACTAAAATCTACTAATTTTAAAGACCATGTCTACTAAAAGTCGATTTAATCAAAATATGGGAAAAATTAATTTTTTTGAAATGAATTGTAATAAAAATAATAAAAAAATTTATATTAGCTTTTTATTTTTTAACATCATATCATTTAAATAATAGTGAAAAAAACAATATGAGAGAAGGGCCGCACAATCGGGCAGAAATCCTTTAAAACTGGATATTCGTTGAAAATAAAAAAAATCTATAATAAATGCATAAAAGAGTCTCTGGTCCATCTTATCCACGTACTTTAATTAAGGTAGGACTGACCTTTAACCCTGTAGAACTCATAATCTAGCTCAATTCTTTTGCTGAAAAAATAAAAAAATAAAAGAGTTATTAGTACTAATTTGTTTTTATAGTATTAAAGCTGAAATTTGTTAAAAGATCCAAATTTTTTTCAGGGATTCTTCAACTTTATATTTGCCGTTATCTTTTGGTAATGAGAAAAAATTTCAAAGTGCTTCAAATATACATTAATAGGTCTTTAAAAAAAGTGCATTTAAAATAATTTATGTTTATTTTTTTTTTTAAAAAATTACTCGCAAAACTTTAACTCAAAATTACTCGCAAAACTTTACTCAAAATTACTCGAAAATACATTACAGAGTTATTCATTCTTATATGCGCGTCTATTCATTTTTATATGCGCCTTTATTCATTCTTATATGCGCATTTATTCATTTTTATATGCGCCTTTATTCATTCTTATATGCGCCTTTATTCATTCTTATATGCGCATTTATTCATTCTTATATGCGCATTTATTCATTCTTATATGCGCATTTATTCATTTTTATATGCGCCTTTATTCATTCTTATATGCGTTTTACAAAAGCAATAGACGATTTCGGAGTTAGCGTAGCCATCTTGGAAAAATATTCTTGGGGGTGCAAGTTGAACTTTGAACTTTCCGTTTTTATGCAAACTTTCATATAAAAGTATGAAAATTTTCATAATTTAAGTTCAAAATAACTCATAGTTTATTAGTTAATTCTTGGTTTAAAAATATTAGCGAAAAATGGTAAACTTGTTGCAAGAGCTTTTGCTGTTATGGAACTTATTCTTGAAATTATATCTTCACAATTTAAAAACAAAAGGAAAGGTGATATTACACCTTTTTTATGGTTTTAAATTTTGTATTTAGTATTTTAAATGGTGCAAACTATACCGTATGAAAACTTTAAATCAAGAATTCACTTTAGTACATACATTTTATTACAGTGAACTGTTTGATCTCATTATAAAATATTAGTTATTAGTTTAAAACTAGTTAATTAAATTGTATGTATTATAATGCCAAGTCAAAGCAGATCTTTAGTTAGTGTCT